ACACGGGTTCATTTTGGGGACCACAAGGGGCGAAGGGTGTAGGGGGGAGCCCCCTGTGTGAGGATTTGGGGGTGCTGAAGGGGAAACCCAGGCACAGGGGAGGGTAGAAATGAGGGGTCATTCCTTCGAAAGTCCCACCTACCAGGCGCTGCAGCCCCGATTCCAGCTCCTCTGCCTCTTTGTTCATCCTCTGGGCTCGGCCGCGGCGTTTGGTTTCGGGGAGCCCGGGGCTGCGACGGGGCTGGGGGCCCTCCGGCCCCCCGCTTCTGGGGGGAACACATGGGGCAGAGAGGGGGGGTGACACAGACATCCCCATCCCCCCATGGACAACAGCCCCAACACCCCCCCCCCCTTGGCCACTTGCAGGCACACCGCCCTCTCCCACCAAGAAACGCCCCCCCATTCCCTAAGCCCCACCCCCATAGCCAAGGGCCACACCCACTCGGGGCTCCGCCCCCTGGGCAAAAGCCCCGCCCCTTCCACCAAGCCCCGCCCCCATGGGTAAGAGCCCCGCCCCTTCCACCAAGCCCCGCCCCGCCCGACTCACCATGGCCACGTGCGCTGAGGGGGTGCGTCACTTTACCGCTGGGAGGGGGGAGCGGGGTCCTTCCTCCCCCGAGGAGAGCCCTGGGGGCGGCGCCATCGCTGGGCGGCTCTGGGGGCGGCAGGAGGCAAAGCGCGTTAAAGCCGGATCGGAACCGGAGCCGAACCGGAGCGGCCGGGCGGGGGGGGGCTGCGGGTCGGGAGTGGGGCGCACCATCTCACCTGGCTCCTGTGGCACCTCCCCCCTCCAGGGCCGTCAGATGGTCTCTTCCAGCCAGGCGCTGCCTGATGCTGTCACCCAGCCCTGCCCGCCCTACTGGGAGAGACCATTGGCACTTGAGCGGGGGGGGGTCTGGGAGGGACCATTGACAGACGGAGGGGGGGTCTGGGAAGGACCATTCGCTCTGAACATGGCGGGACCTGGGAGAAACCATTCCCACTGAATGTCAGGGGATGCTGGGAGAGACCATTGGCACTGAGCATGGGGGGGGAGGCTGGCAGGGACCATTCCCTCTATCTTCATTGGCCAGGTCTTTGGGGGAATCCCCCCATGACCTCTCTCACCCTGTGACCTTTAAGTCTCTTGACCCCTCCCCCATCTTGCTCCCGAGACCTTTCACCCCCGACCTCGGTTCTCCTTTGACCTCGTCCCCTTGGAGGAGCTGGTCCCGCATGGCCTTGCCCAGGGACGCTCGCCTGATGCCGAGCTGCAGCCACCTCTGGGGCAGGGCGGGTGGGGAACAGCCGCACATAACGCCCCACAGGGATGATGTGCTGAGGGCTTTGCACCAGCAGGTGGAGCTGGGCCTGCCCTGAGGCAGCAATGGGACTGGGATAAATAGCCCAGACCCGTGACAGGTGTCTGTCCTGCCGCCCCTTGGTGGAGGCCCCCAGCCCTGCGCTCTGCCTGGGGCAGCATCCAGGATCGGGCCCCATCTCCAGTTCCCAGCCCTGCCCCTCCTCTGCATCCAGGTCCCTCGAAATCCTGTTCCCAGCTCCCCGCCTGGCCAGCCCTCCGCTTGGGGGCCGCTCTCTTCCCTTAGCTCCTCCCCGGGCCCTGACCCGATGGGGCAGATAACCCCGCTCCTGCCCCCTTTGATTGTTCAGAGGCGTGGGAAGCGGGAGAGCCAGAGATGGGGCTGATATGTGGGGTGGGACTGTGGCTCCCAGCCCCCTCCCCTCCTGGAGCTGGGGAGAAAACCCAGGAGTCCTGGCTCCCAGCCCCCCCTGCTCTGACCCACCAGCCCCCACTCCCCTCCCAGAGCCAGGAGAGAACCCAGGAGTCCTGGCTCCCAGCTCTCCCCCCTGCAACCACTGGACCCCACTCCCCTCCACCAGCCCTGTTTCTGTACACAAAACAATACTTTGGGGGGCAGGGATTTAAACATCCCATAAAATTGGACCCATCCTGACACACACCCCCCGCTGTCTCCCTCACATTCCCACAACCCAACCCCCACATTCCTCTTCCTTGCACCCCACATTCTGAGTTTTGGGGAGCAAATCTTTTGCTCTTTACCGGGGCATGAGCAAACGCCTAGGATCACCGCAAACCATCCACAGAGAACCTCCCTGAAGCACCCCAATAAACAAGGACACCCCCAAACTGGAGCATGACCCCAAAGAGCTGAACACTAATCCAGTCCCCCAAGCCACAGCTCCCTGCAGCCCCCCATGCTATTCAAAACCAGCTGAGTTGGGGGTGCAGACAGAAGCTGGCACCCCCAAAATTGAACTGTGAACCCCAATAGTTAAAGACCAATCCAGCCCCCTCCCAAACCACAGGCCCCCCCAGCCGCAGTGCTCAACACAACTACAATAATTTGGGGCTGTTTCTGGATGGACAACCCTGCACCCCCAAACTGAGCCCCCAACTTCACCCCGGAGGCATTAAAACGCAGGACACGCGAGTCATTACAAGAAATATATAATATATTTTAAAATGCAGTTTCCATATATTTTGTTAACCCACAATATATTGGGGTGCCAGAAGGGAGAGTAAAAACGGGGGGTCCTATCGCAGCCAGTGCTGGATCATGGGGACACGGGTTCATTTTGGGGACCACAAGGGGCGAAGGGTGTAGGGGGAGCCCCCTGTGTGAGGATTTGGGGGTGCTGAAGGGGAAACCCAGGCACAGGGGAGGGTAGAAATGAGGGGTCATTCCTTCGAAAGTGGCCGGGTGGATGGAGGGAGGGACAGATGGGGGTCTAGGGGGGATGGACAGGTGCGTGCGTATGGGGGGGCGATGGGACAGACGGGGGGTGGCCCCCAATCCTTGCGGCTGCTGAGCTGAGGAGAATGCCCCTGTACCCCAACACTCTGCCCCCTCTGTCCCAATCCCCGAATCTGTGGCTGGGGGGGGGCAACCCCCTGAACAGCTGTACCCCAATATCCCCCCAGCTGCCCCCTCTTTCCAGCTCAGCCTCCTTCCCCGAGGGGCCCCCCATCACCCCAGCGAGGCGCCTGCCCCCGGGGAGGCGGTGGGGGGGGTGGTAGGCGGCTGGGGGGGGCCCGAGGAGGTGGGTGGAGGGGGAGAAGGGGAGCAGGTGGCTGGACAGGACCATGGGGCTCAGGGCGTAGAGGGAGCCGGGGTCCTCGCCCAGGGGGGAGAGCAGTTCGAGTGGGGTGGGGGGCCCAGCCCCCCCCTCGCCCGGAGCCGCCCCCCGGCGTTTCTTGCCCTTGCCGGAGACTTTGCGGTTGCGGGTCTGGATGCCGTCTTTCCGCATCGTCAGGGGGCGATTGACCTGCAGGGGGGAAGGGGAGAGGGATGGAACCCAGGCATCCGGGGTCCACCACCCTAATCACTAGACCCCTCCCTTCCCTCCCGTAACCAAGGAGTCCTGGCTCCCAGCCCCCACCACTGCCCATGCTCCCACCCCCAAGCCTCCTCCCCTCCCCGCGCCGGTCCCCCCACCCTACCCACTAGACCCCCCTCCCCTCTGCGAGCTGGGCAGAGAACCCAGGTGTCCGGCTCACGTTGTGCAGTTTGTAGTAGAGGCCGCAGGCGTTGCAGACGGGCTCCCCGCTGGCGTTGCGGCGCCAGAGCGTGGTGGTGGTCGTCTGGCAGTTGCTGCACTGGGTACCCGCTCGTTTGCTGACGATCTGGGGGAAGAGACGGGGGGGTGGGCGGGCGCAGAGCCACGGGTCTGGCCCCTGCGCCCAGGAGATGGGGGCAGGGCATCGCAGGGGTGTCATGGAAGCGG